TCCCCCCCCCCCCCCCCCAAACCCCAACCCGGACCTGTAGTCAAGGAACAGTTTATTTGATTAATCTCCCAGATTTATTCTGACGTATGCTGCCTGTAGGTCGTCCCTCATTACACTACGCACTTTTTTCAGTCTCTCTTTGTTTCCTTCCTAAGTCCTTGTTTTTCTGTTTGCCTTCCTTCTGTGTTTCTTATCCTACCTTATTTTCCTTTCGTGTCTGGCGGTTAGAACGCTGGCCTTGTAATCCTGGGGTCTCGGGTTCGATTCCCCGCGGTGCCCGAATTTATAACTTGTGTTGGGCAAGGCCGTGGTCTAGGCAACACGGAGTTTTCCTCCGTGGCATCCCAACAATTACTCCATTCACACACAGAAGAAGGCAATGGCAAACCACTTCTGGATCATCTGCCAAGAACGTATATGAACAGGTCCCAGTCCGAGAAAAGGATGGAAGGATCCTGTTCATATGGACCTGTCCTGAGACAGAACACTAAATAAATAAATAAATCTACATTTTTACCTGCTTTGATTCCAAGTCTTGCTTTCATTCTTCCATCATTTTCATCTTCATTCTTCTTTTATTCCTTTCCTTCCATTCCATTTTGTCGAGTGTTTATTCCTTTTTCCGTGTTTCCGGGCACTCGAGCTTCGCTTCTAAAACCTTGCAGTCTTGATTTCTAATTAACGTCGCTGTCATCTTACGCAGGTCAGAGACAGGTCTGGTTAATTCGCCCCTCAGGGACAAGATATTAATTACCTTCAGTTTTGTGACTCGGTTTATAGAAACATTTTTGTAGTAGTAAAAAAAAAGAGAGAATATATTATTAAATAACAACTGGGGTGGGCCTGCCGCCCGTCGACCTAGGATTAATCATCCGACTAATGATCAGAGGCGATCATTCAGACGCAAGTGCATGCACGTTGGAACTGTACACAGAAATGAGTCACTGAATCACTCCTTGATATGTGAATAATTTCGTTCTTCTGATGACAGAGTCTTCGACATGATCACAAAGAGCTGTTCATCCTTGTTCCACAAAAGCTCGGCTTTCTACCACCGTCCGTCTGGCTTATTTTCTGTTTGCTCTCGAATTGTTTTGATTTAGATTCTTCTATAGCTCTCATCATGACGACATTTGTAATCTGTTACTCTTTATGAATTATTACTCGTATGTTAAGAAAGTTGTGATAAGGTGCTGACAGATGGCAGGACATGAACTCACATTGCACTGTATAAACAGTTTATAAATGCAGGTTATCGGCTTGCATGTGTAGATTAACGTTTATTTAGAATTGATAAAGACTTCATGCCGTATTAAAGTCGAAGAGATTCCGTGGCCACGTGTACTGACCATCCACAATTAACTTCCTGCACAAGAGCATCTACCCTTTAAAATTCTGGGACTAGCAACATGACTCCAGCTCCCCGTATCTGAAGGGCTTAGCAGCTGACCTCTAATCTCCTTGCCCTATCCTCGCAGCTAACTGATC